GGAGGAGGAGGGGGGGAAGGAAAGTGGCGAAGTGCTCTCGAATTTTTAAAGGCTTTAGGGAACCACGGCCCGGCGGCTTGTTAGAGTTCCGTGAAATTAAGTCCGCTCAACGAGTACGAGTTGGAGGGAATTTAACGACCTCTTTCTCTCTCTCTCTCTCTCTCTCTCTCTCCCCGCTCGAGGCTCGACCCAGGCAGAGAATTTTCCCGCGCTTTTCTCCGCCATTCCTGGCAAAAGGAGAAGTAGATCACAGTTCTGAACAGCGATTTGATTAAATTTCGAAAGAGAAGAAAGAAAAGTGAAGTAGATTAAGAAGAAGAAGAAAAAGAAGAATCGTTGACATGTTGTCTATAAGAGGAGAATTTCAGAGGAGGAAGAGTGGAACTTTCGAGGGACGGAGAGAGGAATGTTCGAGAATCGTGGAAGGATGGAAATGAGAATTTGGGGGGAGGGGAATTGTTCCAGGATGGAAATACAAACGAAAGTCGAAACTGTTGAAACTTTGTTATGCGCGAGGTGGAAGAAGAATGGAAATTTGAGGATGGTTTGAGAATAAAAAAAAAAATAAAGAAAAGAAAAATCGCAGGAGGATTTAAAAATTCTGAAACACTATAAATAAATGGAGATTAGAAATTCGAGATTGGAATTTATTGGAAATAAATAAATCTCTCCATAAATTCTATTATCGTGGAGAAAGAAGAAGAAGAATTTTTCGCTGGAAAAAGAGTGGATAAAGTTTTTAGATAAAAATCTGTTTGGAATTTCTACCCCTTCCCCGGGGAAGGGGAGGAGGCTCGACTTCTTAATACTTTTCGATTTATTAATACTTTTATCGTCGTCCTCCTCCTCCTCCTGTCGCGATCAGAATTCAGAGAGATTAAGGGGAGGAGGGAGGGGAGGGAGAGACTTCTTGGGAAACTTGCTTCTTCTACGAAAGTTCTTCGTCCTCACTTTTGCTTGACATTCGATGTTCGTAGAAAAAGTTCTCGTTGGAAAAGTTCGAATGTATCGTGTTTCTTTCTTTCTTTCTTTCTTTCTTTCCTTCGATCGCCTGCCTGTCGGGATAGCACGTAACGTTTTCAATTAATTTGTCGAGCTTCCAGTTTTTTTCAGTTTTACTTCTTCTGCACGTAAATTTCGCCCTTCCATTCTTATTTATTCGTAACTTGATATAGGTATGGTGTTTGGATGTAGAAAGTTATTGAATACAAAAAATTTTGAAATTTTGAAACGAAACTTAATATTTTTCGTTGTTTTATGGAAATCTTTTGTACTTTTTTTTTTAAACTTTTCCAGTTTCGTTTTTCGGATAATATAAAATAATTTTATTATTTTACAAGGTTTTAATATTGGTAAATTTCGTGGAAAGAGTAATTTTCTTAAATTTTGCGAATAGCAAAAAGGAATTATTGGAACGAAACGAAAAGCTGGAAAAGAAATTTCGAAAAGCAAAAACAAAACATTTTTCTTTATACCTTTTTGAAACTTTTTCAATTCCATTTTTCAAAAATATCAAATCACAGTTTAATTATTTATAGAATTTTACAAATCTTCTATTAAAGTTCCATCATCCACTTTCACTTATATTCCCAACTTGCCAATCTTTCAATAATTTCTAAATCTCTAATAGAAAGAAATCATCAGTGATCTTCAAAATTTTGCGAATAACGAAAAGAATTATTGAAAAGCTAAAAACAAAAATTTTGAAATTTGAAACGAAACTTGTTTTCCACAAAGACCTAAGCTTTTTTTCTTTTCATTTTTCAAAAATATCACAAATTACATTTTACATATAAATACAAATCTTCCATAAAACGTCTTAAATATTAAATAATCAATATTCAATTTCTTAAATCTCTTTATAAAAAAAAAACAGATAAATCGACAGATATATTCTTCTTAATTTTACTTATACTCAGATATTCAAATTATTATTTAAAAAAGTATTAAAAATTGTATTCAATTTAATTATTATTAATTGTATATTAATTGTTAATTCAATTATTTATTATTTAAAAAAGTATTAAAAACTTAGCTTCACGAGTACGTGAAGCAACATTCGATCAAACGCTTCGATCCTCCTCCTCCTCCTCCCCCTTTCCCCTCCCCCTCCAAATCGCCTCACCTCTCCAACCATCTTGTCTAACTACTAACTTCCTACTCTCCATCAGGCTGGGCTGATCCCCGAACAAGGGGGGACATACCGACGTGCTCTCCTCCTCGCCGCTCTCCCTGCGACCGCCCAGGAGCGGGAAAAGAAGAGGGGAAGAGGGAAAGATGACGCTCGACGCGGGAAGAGGAACCACGGCGCTCGGTGAAACGAACGACGGGACCACCCTCGGGGGAAACGAGTTGGCTCACACCGTCAGATAACTTTCGATCTTCCCCTTCTCGCTCCCTCTCTCCCCTTCCCCTACCCTTTCTCCAAAAAAAGAAAGAAAGAAAGATCGAGAGAGAGAGAGAGAGAGGACAGCCAGAGCCTTCGAGTTTCCAGAAAATTTCCAAATAATTCCCTCCTCCTCCTCCTCGAAGAGAGAGAGAGAGAAAGAAAGAGAAAGAACAGAAAAATTTCCAAATAATTCCTCTCCTCGAAGAAGAAGATCCAGATCCTCTCCTCCAAGAGAGAGAGGACAACCAGAGCCTTTGAGTTTCCAGAAAATTTCCAAATAATTCCCTCCTTCTCCTCGAAGAAGAGATCCAGAGAGAGAGAGAAAGAGAGAGAAAAGGAAAAAACAGAAAAAATAAATTTCCAAATAATTCCTCTCCTCGAAGAAGAAGATCCAGATCCTCTCCTCCATAGAGAGAGAAAGAGAAAGAACAGAAAAATTTCCAAATAATTCCTCTCCTGTTCCTCCTCCTCGAAGAAGAGATCCATATCCTCTCCTCCAAGTCCATAGAAAGAGAGTGAGAAAGAGAAAGAGAAAGAACAGAAAAATTTCCAAATAATTCCCTCCTCCTCGAAGAAGAGATCCAGATTCTCTCCTCCAAATCTACAGAGAGAGAGAGAGAACAACCAAAGCCTTTGAGTTTCCTGAAAATTTCCAAATAATTCCCTCCTCCTCCTCCTCGAAGAAGAGAGAGAGAGAAAGAAAGAGAAAGAACAGAAAAATTTCCAAATAATTCCCTCCTCCTCCTCCTCGAAGAAGAGATCCATATCCTCTCCTCCAAGTCCACAGGACAACCAAAGCCTTCGAGTTTCCAGAAAATTTCCAAATAATTCCCTTCTCCTTGAAGAAGAGATCCAAATCCTCTCCTCCAAGTCCATAGAGAGAGAGAGAGAGAGAGGAAGGAATCGAATGAGATGGAGGACAGACGGATGGATGGATAAATAGACGGAGAGGAGAAGCGGAGAGGAAAGATGAGCCAGCGGCCCCTCGCCCGGATGTTGGTGCTGCTTGTGTCCCTTCACCGGCTCTCCATATACGGGGGTAGCCATTGGAGGCCGGGTAGGAGCGAGTCGGTGGTGATTCCGGGGGACATAGTGTTGGGGGGTTTGTTCCCGGTCCACGAGAAGGGGGGCGCCTCGTGCGGGCCGAACGTGTACAATCGGGGTGTGCAGCGGCTCGAGGCGATGCTGTTCGCCGTCGACCAGATAAACAGGGACGAGGGTATACTGCCCGGGATCACGATAGGGGTGCACATTTTGGACACGTGCGGGCGGGACACGTACGCCCTTAACCAGAGCCTGCACTTCGTGAGGGCGTCGTTGTCGAACCTGGACATGAGCGTGCTCGAGTGCGCGGACAGGTCGGCGCCGAGGGTGAAGAAGACGGCGAGCGCCGGCCCGATATTCGGCGTGATAGGGGGCTCTTACAGTTCCGTGTCGTTGCAGGTTGCAAATCTGCTCAGACTGTTCCACATACCCCAGATCTCGCCCGCCTCGACGGCCAAGGCGCTCAGCGACAAGACCAGGTGATTCTCTCTCTCTCCATTTTCGACCCTTTCCGCTCTCGAAACGGACTCTCGGCCAGGGAAATTGAAATGGATTCGTAAGATTCCTCGAGCGGAATTTTGTAAAGGGTGGAATGGTGTGCTGTACCGAATGGTTAGATTTAATTTTTGACGAGTTTTTCTCGAGTTTTGCGAGCGTGGAAATAATGGTAAAATTAGAGGTAGTTTGATTTTTCGTTATCGAAATATAATTTCTATTCGGTGAGAAATTGAGGATAGAGAGAAGGAAAATAGAGAAATTATTTTATTAAAATATCACACGAAACTACAAATATAGAATTTAACATTCGACGAAGTTTCTTTCTTTACGTAAGTAAAGGTAATATAAATAAAATATTAGAAATTAAATATATATTTAATAATAAATAAATTCGTCTTTTTAAATTATATCTTTTAAATTGTTTTAAATTGTATTTTATTGTAATTTTTATCTTCTGGTAAAGATAAAGTGTTTTTTAAATTAATTATTTTAGTTTCAAAAAAATATTTTCATTAGAATTTTTAAATTATAACCAATTCTTACGAAAGACAAAGCTGGGCAAAAGTTATCGAAGAACCATTCAGAATCTTTTAATAAAAAAACTCTGCTAATCGATTAACCAGTTTATCCAAAAATTAGCCTTTATTTTCAATCCAAAATTCTTAGAGAGATGCAAGGCAAAAGTTATATTCGAATAACTATAATTGATAATAAGACTTAAAAATTTTCTCTTCGTCTCAAAAAAATCTCCTTTTCCAAAATTGAACGAGAAGAACAAATCAACAAACCCCGACATCAAATCATTAAAATTCGTTGGACGATCATCCAGGTTCGACTATTTCGCGAGGACGGTCCCACCCGACACGTTCCAATCGATCGCGTTGGTGGACGTGGTGAAGAGCGCCAACTGGTCCTACGTCTCGACCGTGTACTCGGAGGGCAGTTACGGCGAATACGGGATCGAGGTGTTCACGAGGGAGGCGACCGAGCGGAACGTGTGCATAGCCGCGGCAGTAAAGGTGCCGAGCGCGGCGGACGATCGCATGTTCGACGACATAATCCAAAGATTGAGCAAGAAGGCGAACGCACGGGCGGTGGTGCTGTTCACGCGCGCCGAGGACGCGAGGGGGATCCTGGAGGCTGCGAGGAGGTCGAACCTGAGCCAGCCCTTCCAATGGTTGGCCAGCGACGGCTGGGGCAGGCAGATCAAGCTCGTCGAGGGCCTCGAGGAGGAGGCCGAGGGCGCCATCACGGTCGAGCTCCAATCCGAGAATATTCCCGGGTTCGACGAGTACATGGCCTCCCTGACCCCCGACACCAATCGTCGAAACCCGTGGTTCAGCGAGTATTGGGAGGAGGTGTTCGACTGCCTCCTCAAAAAGGAACGGAACGGACCAACCCAAACGACCCTCAACGCCACGACGCTCTTCTGCCCCCCCAACCTCAGACTAACCTCCGAAAGGGGTTACGAGCAAGAGTCCAAGGTCCAGTTCGTGGTGGACGCGGTGTACGCGTTCGCGTTGGCCCTCCACAACCTCCAGAGGGACGTGTGTTCGAAACTCGAGGGCCTCTGCCCCTCCATGGCCAATTACGACCGTGGCGTCTTCTACAGGAATTATCTCCTCAACGTCTCCTTCACAGGTAAGAATATTGTATGTGTGTATGCGTGTGTATGTAATATAATGTAGTGTAGTATAGCATAGCATAGCATAGTGTAGTGTAGTGTATGTAGTGTAGCATAGTATAGTATAGTACAGCATAGTGTAGTGTAATGTAATGTAGTGTAGTATCTGTAGTGTAGCGTAGTGTAGTGTAATATAGTGTAGTGTAGCGTAGTGTAGCATAGTGTAGCATAGTGTAGCGTAGTGTAGCGTAGTGTAGCGTAGTGTAGCGTAGTGTAGCGTAGTGTAGCGTAG